TGTGTGTGTGTGTGTGTGTGTGTGTGTGTGTGTGTGTGTGTGTGTGTAAGTAACAGGGTCTTCCTGGAGACACGAGAGCACACTGATGTTGGGTTCCGTGAAGCATGTCCGCACAGTGAGATGGTGTGTGGGCTGCGGGAGGGCAGAGGGCTGCCGCGTACACCTGTGGTTTGAAGACAAAGCCACGAGCGTGCTGTGAATGCCCAGGCAAACCGCAGTGGAGACTAGAAGACAGAAGTCTCGATGGACTACGGGGCCTTAGTTGGAGAGTGACCATTCCCAGCTAAGGGCGGGAGCCTCCAACGTTGTCTGGGGTGTCCCTCTTGTTTTACAGCCCAGCGGAGAGCAGTGTTGCTGCCTTTGGCTCCAACAGTTCAAACCCAAAGGGTCCTGTTTCAGTTTCCCATACTAAAGCAGATCCCAGGCTAATAGGCTAGGAGCCAGGAAACGCCTCGTCGTGCTCGGCTGGTTTTATAAAGGGGCACTGCTATCTGGGGACAGGTCCCTCAGCCTATCAGTGCCGGTGGCCTGTAGCCTCGTGGAGAAAGTGAGGCCGAGTTCACACCAGGGAGTGGCCTCCGCCTTCAGACAAGCTTTTTCTACTCTGCAGCCTCCAGGGATAGCAGCCAGCTGGAGCTGCTAAAGCCTTCAGTCAAAAGGACAAGGGTGAGCTTCTCTGAGAAGGCTCCAGGAGCCTGAGGGCTTCTACAGCTTGGAGCAGGAAGCACCCGGACCCTTCATGGAGGCCAAAACTCTGTGGTTGGAGTAACCCTGGACTCCACGGAGAAAGCACTAGAACAACTTTGTGACCCTCCTCTCCACTCCTCACAGCTGAGGTGAACCATGAAGCCACACCTCCCCACCCTCTCAAGGGGAGAAGCAGGACCAAGCCAACCTTCCAGAGTGCCAGGTCCCAAGTCAGACACATGCAGCAGAGTCGTGTGGTGCTTGTGTAACGTGTAGGAGTCTGGACAGTAGACCTATACTCAACGGCCTGAGAGCCACCAGCCAACTGCGCTGCAGTCAGCCACCTGTTTCACGTGGATGAAGACTTGTCTAGGGGTTGGTTATGAATGCAGTTTGAAGCTGGGTCTTTGCACAATGGCTGGTGTGACCATTAGCTGTGACCTTGTGAAATGTTTCTACCTTCACAGACTCAGGTTCCTTGTTCTAAATACGTGGGTAAGGACAGAACTTATCTCGTAAGTTCAGCAATGCATGTGGAGTTTCTTTTTGAATGTCGGGCAACGTAGCCACTTCCCAGCCTGTTACACCCAAGAGGACCCAGGGATGGCTGTGAAGTTAGCACCCCAAGCCTCCTCTGCCTCTGCAGAGACGGCGCTGGGGTGTTTGGGAACGTTCGTGACCCTGCAAAGGTGGGGACGGGATAGCAAGGTGATCAGGAAAAGGCCCCAGAAATGAGTACAAAAAGGGAGCAGGAGACATTTCCAGAGCAAGCGGCCTCCGGAGTACAGACCACTAGATGATAGCTCACAGTGCTCTGCTGAGCCAGGGCATTCAAGTGACGGGGTGCAGAGAGGGGCCCGGAAGCGGAGCTGCAAACTCGGCAGGATTTGCTCAGTTACAACGGTGTTATGAAACGTGGAAGAACCGCAGCATAAGCACTTAATGACCCAATGTGCCACTCTGTGGGGTGTCACTGCCACTGTGGGGGATAAAGGCCACTATTATGGTACCCAAAAGTCTTCACAAACAGGCTGAGGGCAAGAGGTAACGAGGCTGGCCCCTCGTCTACCTGACACCCTGATGAGCTGTGTTGCTGAGCTCTGAGGGGCAGGAAGCCCTGCTAGGAGGAAGCCCGTGACGATCCCCCAGCTGCCTCCTAAGAAACGTTATTAGACATTTCCCCGAGTTGCTAAGAATGTGGACAAAGGGATCTTCCCTTCCCAGAAACCCTTGCTCCTGAGTCAGGGTCAGACAACTAGGGTCAGATTCCATTGGCCATGTTCCCCTGTCATCGGCCACCTCCCCAAAAGCTACCTCTCCAAGGCCAGCCTTACATCCCCTTCCATTTGCTGTTGAAGCCAAAGCCAGGAAGAGGGCAGGACTCACCAGTACAGATAGTAGAAGAAGGAGAGGAGATAGAAGGCCAGCTTACACCAGGCCTCCTTCTGACAGTAGCTCAAGGTGTCGGCGTTCATGACAACAGGCGGGTCATAGGCTAGTTCTGAACTGTCTGCTGGACAGTGGAAATACCTGCAGGAAAGAGGACATGAAGGGGTGTCTCAGGCGCTCAGGGCTCTCCACATCGCCAGGCCAGGACCCCTAGCAATGTGCTTTTCCCTGAAGATCTGTGCCTCCTGCTAATGTCAGATTCCAACCACTGCAACTCAGCCACAACCTTCCAGGGGGTGTTTAAGTCCCTGAACAGATCCTTGGTGTCATAGAAGGGCATTCTGGCAGAAGAAAATCTATCACCCAGGATTACGGTTTGAGTGGGAAATCTCTCCCATAGGTTCATGTGTGAGTATACTTGGTACCGAGCTAATAGGCCTGTTTGGGGAGGTTATTGAAGCTTTAGGAGACGGGGCCTCCCTGGAGGAAGTAGGGGAAGTTATAGCATGGCCCCACTTCTTGTCCCAGCTCTCTGCTTCAGTCTACCAAGGTGTAACAAATAACACTGCAGCTCCTGCTGGCCCAGCCCCAGCCCCAGCCCCAGCCCCAGCCACTATGGTGGGGTGCATACCCTTGAACTATGAGCCCAAAAAGTTTCTTCCTGCTTGAGGTTGATTCTGACAGCCTGGAATCCCCTGGGAGGCACCATGAGCTCCCTTTGGGTGTGTAGAAAGTTGTACCAACACCTTCTCAGTGTCTGTATTCTGCCTCAAATACCAAGCGCCTTGGGCTATTGCCCACTTCTTAGACTTCATCTAAACTCCTAAATGCCATGGAAGGAGCATTATGGGGTCATTTTTAAGAGTATGAATTGTTTTGCCGGTTTTGTTTGTTTGTTTGTAGCGGGGCCCAGAACAGCAAAAAGAATGTTGGCCATCTTTGGGGAAGCTGGGAAGAAAATTGTAGGTGGAGGAGTCCTCATTAAAGTCCACAGTCACATCAACTGTACAGCTGCTGCCCAAGGCCAGAGGGCTCACGTGACAACTGGGGCCCTTGCAAGCATCTGCAGCCCTTCCCTTAGTTCATGCCCCACCAACATCTGCAGGGCGTAGCTCCCCATGGAGCCCGGGAGCCCAGCACAGCTGGAATGGCCCAGTGCTGCTCTTTAGTCACTGCAGGGAAGGATCCCGGGAGGCAGGAATGCAGGCTGCCGCCCCTGTCAGGCCTGGCACACTAGCGGTTCTCCACCCTGAAGAAGCACCAGGCATAGGCCTGCCCTGAAGACCACCATGACGGCACACGCTTGCAGAGTGGGCACCTCGGTCACCTCCTCGGTCCCCTTCAGAGAACTGCATTGGCGCTGCCTGTCACTGACAACTATGCAAAGCGGACATCAGACGCCAGATTCGATGACAGCTGCCAGCTCATAGCCCTTGGGCCACTCACCTGTTTTCTTCCCGAGAGCCCATTTCAAAATATTTGCTGTCACTGTGGCTTTGTTCCCAGGTGACCTCATTAAGGGGCAGGGGTGTGGCAGAGGAACAGGGTGGCCAAATGAACGGCTTGCAGGAAAACACTAAGCCAGGCTCTTTTGCTTGCAGCTTCCCAGATTGCCCTTCCTTGTGCCAGTCATCAACTCATCCTGGGTTCAGCTGTAAAATGGGGAATAAAACTGCCCAAAGCATGAGGCTGATGTATGGTGATGTCATCAGCAAACAGCTTCCCAGAACAGCCGCTAGAACATGGCAGCCGGGCTAGTTACACTGAAGCAAAGTGAGAGGGAGGGAGAGGGGACTTCTCTGTGAGAGATGATGGCGCCAACCTGACCGGAAGGAGGCAGGTGGGCCAGGGGTATCCGGTCAGTCTGTAAAGCACTACAAGTGAGGGACCAACCCCTGAAACTTGTGCTATGATGCTGGGCAAAGGGGTGTGAGGCTGTGTTCAGCACTGGAGATGTTGAGACATGTGGCTCCCTGCGGCTCACAGACCAGCCAGCCTTGCCTAGCTAAGTGAGTTTCAGGCCATTACGAGACGTTGCTCCAAAAGGTAGAAGGCACCTAAGGAACTACACCGGAAGTTGTCATATAAACTCTACACACGTGCACACATACATAAATACACATGGGATATGGAGCAGACCGAGAAAATGAGAAGAGAGGAAGAGGAGTCTAGGTGTTTAAAGACTCCTCTGTCTTCATTCCGTCTGTCTTTTGTGTTCTGATAACTTCCTAAAGAGAAGCAGGCTAGGCCATCAGGGATCCAAGAATCAAAACAAGGTCTTCACAGGCAATGAGACCATGGCTGCTCCCCACCTCCATCCACACACATTCCGGGTGTGAGGACAGTGGCCGGCTCTCCTTTTCCTCACTTGGGACAAGTGCTAGCTCTGAGATTAGAACACAAAGCCGACTTCCACAAGCGGATTGTATTTTCTTTATTTCTGTGGGGCTGGAGACAAAAGCCAAGGCTGTGTGCACTCAGTAAACACACGCTCACCACCACACCTCCTCCGCAGCCACTGACCACATTCTGATAGGCTTCAGCGACAGACCATGACTTCAGGACTCTCGGGAGAAACTTCTTTTGTGAGGCGGAGATCTGGCCCAGGGCTGCGAGTGAGGTGGAGAGGGCGCAGAGGTCTCACAGGTGAGGTGACCATCACCCTCACAGCTGTCTGGCTCAGAGGCTCCCTCTCCCTCACCTTCACCCAACCGCTGGCCTAAGCCTGTTCAGTTTACCGCCAATTCTGTTCTCTCGCCGTGCCAGCTTTCACTGGCCACGACAGCTTCCTGTCAGCTCCTCATCTCTGTTCTTTCTTCACCTGGAGTTCTCTCTTGTTCCTAATTAGATTTTTATTTCAATGCATCTCCTTCTGGCCCATCCTTCACACTTCTGCCGGGATCAATCACGTTCTAAAGGTCAGATCAAGTAACGGCACTTTCCTCCCCAGAACTTCCCGTGGCTCTCCAGTCCCTACAGGCCCCAAGCACCCTATCAGGTCTTCTTGGACCCTTGTGTGAAACTGTCAGCTGCTTGTCAACTGCATCCTCCAAGAGCCCCCAAAGGTTAAAAAAAAAAAAAACCGCCCCACCCCCAAACATGCCAAGTGTCCTCTCCCTTCTGGGCCTTTGCACATGCTTTTCTGGACTTTTCTGCAGACTAACGTAAGGGTTTTTTTTCTCTATGTTCCTACACATGGTCATCATATGTCTGTTAAAGATTCATACATGTTCTCATCTAGGAATTCCCCTCGATGCCTGGCGAGTAGCGTGTGCTCCATATGTTTGCTAGTGCTAATGCTCTCTAAGGCTGTATTTCATTCGAAAGCGGCAACACTGGACCAACTGTCTCGGTGGTCCAGACTGCTACGATTAAAGTGTTCAAGGAAGGCAAGTAATCCACACAATTACAATCTTTACTTCTCTGGTATTTCCCACTTTTGCTCCATATCCATCCTACAGAAAAACTGAGATCCAAAGCACAGTCTTATATGAGCAGAGGGTCTTAACATCATAAATGCCCATAAAATCCAGCACAATCGGTGTATGCTTTTTAAAAAAAATAAGCAATTTACACACCATACAGTTTGCCCCTGTAAAGTATACACACAATTCAGCAAGATGTACAGAGCTGTACATCTATGACTCCTGCCTAACTTTAGAGCATTTCCATTACCTTTACCCTCAAGAAAGAAAGACAGAGGCAGAGAAAGCCTGTACCCACTGGCAGTCATTTTCTATTTTCCCTTATCCTTTGGAAACTACTAGTTTATTTTTGTCTCTATAGATTTGACTACTCTGGAAATTTCATATCAGTAGAATCATGTAATATGTGACCATTGGGTGTGGTATCTTTAACTTGTATTTTCTCTGTGACCCATCCACACTGTAGCACATTCAAGTATTTTGTGTCTTAAATTTCCAACTAATGACCCACTGTGTGGATGTACCACATTTTCCTTTATCCACTCATCATCTAGTAGGCATCAGTGTTGTTTTCATGTTTTTGGCTACAGTGAATAATGTCGTAGTCTGCTTTTCACACTAACCTACAGGATTGGGGTTGAGCTACAGAGCCAAGAGGGACTCACTCCCAACTCTGGAGGGCATGCTCATTCTAGGTATCTTTGTTTGTCAGCTTGGTACAACCTTTGTCCTCCTACGGGAGAGCCTCAACCGAGGAACTACGTAGATCATATTGACCTACAGGCATGTCTACGAGGGACTGTCTTGACTGCTAACTGATGTAGGAGAGCCCAGCCCATTGTAAGTAGATGGCAGCATTCCCTGGTCCCGTGGTCCTGAGGTATGTGAGAAACCTAACTAAGCATGAGTCTGCCAGCCAGCCAGCCAAAGACACTCTTCTCTAGAGTTTCTGACACGCAGTTGTAACCTGTGAGATTTAAAAAAAAAAAAAAAAAAAAGCCTGTTCCTTCCCTAAATTGCTATTGGTCAGAGTACTCAATCACAACAACAGGATTGTACCTAGAACAAAGCTTCTTTATAAAGGAGTGCAAGGAGGCACCCAGTGGCCGATCTATCTGGGCACACTGTCTCGGGTGCAGACATGAAGGAGGGTGGGCCGCCCCAGACAGACCTACCTCCAGAAGTGATAGAAAAGCAGGGGAACGTTCAGCCCCAGGGTGAGCCACTCCTGAGCACACAGGAACATGATGCAGAAGAGGCTGTGAATAGAGTACTCTGGCAGCACCAGCTGGAGAGGAAGCAGAGACAGGCAGGCCTGGTTAGAGGGAGGAAATGCTCCGCCCATTCACTGCCCCCAGTCAGAGGCCCTCCCTGCAGCATGGTGGCATCCCTGTGAACGAGACACTTAGGGGAAATGCTCCGGGTTTTAGACCCGATCCCAAGTAGACACAGTCCCTCTGTACTTGCCCGGGAAAAAGGGACGCGGTTACCCAGCATCTGGACTGCCTGGAGAAACCAATAGTGTTTTCTGTCACCCTCCACCTGTTTTGCTCTGGGTTGCTGGCTCCTCTGTGCCCTCCCCTAATAATAGGTGTGTTTGTTCCTAACACAGGAGGGTCGGGAGAGCAGAAAGGCACCGGCTGATGACAGGCAGATCAGGAAGAACCTGAGAGAAAAGCCAAGCAGCAATGGTGACGACAGCTGTGGCCTCCATGTGAAGGGAGAGGTGAACTCAGACTCAAGGCAGGGGGCAGGGGTAGGAGAGGCAACGGAAGAGTGGCCAGCTGGCAGGTGGACATTCTTGGGGTGGTTATACGTGGCATAAATGAAAACAGAAATGCAAACACACTGGTATAGGCAGAATACACACACACACACACACACACACACACACACACACACACACACGTGTATGTATGCCTCTGTATCTTACTCAGCCCATAAATGCTCTCGGCTTCCAACAAGTTCTGTCCTTCAAGAGCCATCTCAAATTTGTTTCTAAAGGACTCTCTGCCCACCCTCTCCTGTACCTCTTCCCCACATACCTGATTTCTTATATAAACTTACACAAGAAAGAAATACTGAAGTTTTAATTCACTGACTGTAGTCCTGAAGTTAAAAAAAAATTTGTTTGTGTGTGCCTGTGGGTGTGTCTATGCACATGAACGTACATACGTGTGTGCCATGGTACACATGTGGAGGCCAGAAGACAATTGGTGGGAAGCAGTTCCCTCTTTCCACCATGTGGGTTGCAGGGCTAGAAGTCTGGTTCAGACTTGGCGGCAGATGTCTGTACCCGCTGGGCTGTCTCACCAACGCTGCCGTCACACGCCTTCCGACCCACCCTTAGAGACCATCCCACAGCCTATCTATCCAGCCTATCTGCGTGCTTCTCTCCCACTGCTTGACACACGTGACTGTAATAAAACACTCCATAATCGGACTCAGTCCAGACTGGTCCTATCCAGTCTCCTTTTGCAATCTGCTTTGTGTGTTACTCAGCACATATGACCAAATGTGCTGTTCTGACCAATCACATAAGTCTGTGGCAAGGCTCCATTGCCATGAGATGCAGTCTGCGGTCACAGCCATAGACTCCTGTGGGTGGAAACAACTGCTTCAGACTGATCCACTTGGCTATAGAATGTGACTTTATTCTTTCCCTGTAGGCAGATGAGCTACCTGACCAGTTGGCCCCTGCAGAAGATGAGGACATGTTCACATTAAACATAAATGCATGTACAGGCAAGCATATGAGAAATGCATTTCGTAACTGGGGTGGGGGGTGTATCTTTGTTCTCAGCGTCTGATGGAGAGGGAACCACATTAGCCTTAAGTTACTCAGAGAGCTTGGACTCAGCGTCATCCCTCCAGGGTCGTGACTTCAGCTGATAGAGCAGGCACTGCCTGCGCCTATGAATCTCAACCACGTGGCAGGGGGGGACATGTCCGATCATTTCTCCTTAGAGGACCTCAAGATTGTGCTTGCCAGCTTCATCTGTACCCAGGCAGGGCATCACCCGGCTATCGCCCATGCTTAGAGAACGCCCATATTCTCCAAACTAGCGTGCCAGCTCCGCTCTGCCATGTACATCTCTACATTTTGTAACCATAACTTCCCAGCACTTATGCCAAGTAATTAACATGTTTAGAGACAGCTACTCCGGGCCTGAGTCATCCATTACAGCTCCATTCCTGTCTCCGGTGGCAGTGACAGACCTCCGAATGATGGCAGTTCAGGATTCATGTCCCTCTATCAATCATACCGGGGCTTGGCTGATAATGGAAGCTGTGACTGGATTAGCAGGGAAGCTCTGTCACCCTTCCATGTCTGGAGGAAGACAGTTAACAGAGGCAAGCTCGCCTTTTAGGGGTGAGAAAAAAAAAAGCTAACAAATCCTCCTGCTGTTCTGCTTGGATCTTCCAACTGCCTCTGAGTATCTAAAACACTGAGCAGGCTTGTCCCTGAACCCCGGGAGACTCCAAGTGGCAGCAATGCCCTTGTATTGTACTTACTATCCCTCCTCTTTCTCCAGGCGTCCCTTGTCACACCGATGTGGACCATGTAGGGACCTTCTTCCTCCCAGAACACATGGAGCTTACCCAGGCCATGTGCGCTGGCCTGTACCATGCCCCCCCCCTGCACCATCCACTACTTGGCCTTTGGAACACGAGACATCATGTCCCAGATCCCAGCAGCAGGGAGGTGCCCCATGGGCCGTGAATGGAAACCGCATGAGAACCCTGGAACATGGATCAGCCAATGACAAATGGCCCAAAGCCCCATTTTGTTCCCTCTGGCATTGCAAAGGATAGCTATAACAATGGGTGTAGTCCATCATCCTGACACCGTAGGTAGGAAGAGAGGCCCCCAGGCAACCTGTTACGGGTAGAGTGAGGCCTAACTTCTGTTGTTCTGAGCTACTGAGAGTCCTGCGTTGCTTCTCGCTATGACACCCTTTGATCCATCTTGTCTAAGACAGTCAGAGCCCCAGAGTGAGAGATCAATGAGAAAAGCAAAGCTGTGTCCTTCTTTCCTCTTCATCCTCCCCCAAACATCCTTCCAGACCTTTGTGGACTAAGCCATTGAGGCCAGCGTGACACTGAGCACCAGGTGAAAGGCTACCAGGCGGGCACGATGCTTATTCATCCTGGTGGGCAGCCAGCTGGGCTGCTCCCTCCCAGCTCAGGGAGAATAGCGGCTATTGAAAGACGCCCGCCCTTGGATTGACCACAGAAAGCTTAGAAAGGTTGATTGGAACTCTGACCATCCATGGCCAGTGTCAGCTCTCAGCGCTGATAGATACTGTTTCCTGTAACGTAGTCATTGAATGGCACCAATCCCTGTGATTCATTGAATGGATTATAAAGAGAAAACATTCATGCAGGCCACAGTCCTGCTTTCTGTAGTTAAAAATAGTAAGAGTGGTCCCTCTAGAGCCATCATGGGGTTGCTGAAAAGATGACAGTTCAAGCCAGGGTTGTCTGCGCACACCTATGATCCCAGACTAAGGGAACAGGCTACATGGTGAGATCTGGACTCAAAAAATCAAAACCTAACAAACAAAAGGCAACAATACAGGCCAACTCAGGAATGGCTGAGGCCTTTATGATCAAAGCAGAACCAAACACTGTTAAATAAGAATATACCTAAATATGTACGGAAACCAAAGGTCAGCGTTATAGAAGATAGGGCTAGGAACCAAAGGGGCTGCAGAGATGGCTCAGTGGTTATAGCACTTGCCGCACACACATGAGGTATAGAGCTTGGATTCCCCAGAAACCCACATAAATATCAGGTAGGCATGGTGGCCCACCAGGTAATTCCAGCCTCAGAGGTGGAGACAGGGGATATCCAGAGCAAATTAGCCAACAAGACCAGCCATAACTGGCAACCTCTGGATTTGACTGAAAGGCCCTGCCTTCATGACTAAGAAAAAAGAATAATTAAAGGTGATCTCCACCACCAATCTTAGTTCTCAACGTTCATACATGAGCACGTGTACACCACACACACACCTGCCCAAACACGTGCAAAAACATGCACACATACATATATACACTTACACTCTCTCTCTCTCTCTCTCTCTCTCTCTCTC